AGAAGGCTCACCACTATTCTTAAGTTAGAATCCATTACAGATTAATCACTTTAATATGCAGTTGGCCACTAATACATGTGAACTTTCCAGTCATTCCACTTCTTCTCTGCTGTCTGAGACATAAAGTGAAAAATTTTACTGGAAGACATTTGGGCGAGTGTACTCCGTAACCTCACAGGGAACTAAGATTACAGTTTGCATTAGGAGAGAGAATGTTTTAGAGTCATGTGAAATATAACTTGATAAAGTGGGCACATACAGGATAGGGTAGTTGCTGAGCAGCATCTTAATACTGTCAAGGTATTTAAGAATTTCTTCAGAAGAATGTGAATTTCAACTTCAATGCACAAACGACCTGCCGTAAAACAGTTGTTTATCAGAAAGAATCCTCCTTGACATCAGTGTAAGGCATTACAAAATCAAAAGGATCTATTACATCCTTGATTCTGAATTAAAAACATCATACCTTTTACTTTTTTTTTTTTTTTTCATCTCCAATTAACATTTCTGGGTAGTTTAAGTTGCATTTTGAAAGACTCATAAACAGCTGAGGTCACAGACACATTTCTTCAGTAATGTTTAGCTAATGTGCTAGTTTAACATCCAGAGTTGTTTAATGCTGCTGGCTGTAAACTGGGAAGGAGGAGGGAGAATTTCTTTCAGTACCAGATTAATACTTTATATCTAAAATAAATAAATGTGTCCTTATGCTTAATAAAGCGTAACTTATTCTTTTATGCTGTGGATATGGATTGTTTTCAAATAAATGGTAACAAAACTACTGTACAAAACATCTTTTTATAGGGTTTATAGAAGATTATTTAGTCTGATTTTGGAGCGATTTTGAAGCAGGATCTATTTATCGGTTATTCAGTGTTTCAAAAAATCTGAGGGACTTGATATGCAATATAGCAAAGACTCAGAAGGTTTAAGGTGATCCCATCATACTTACAGTATATATGACTGTTAAAAGGATGTCCAATAGTAGACAAATGCTTATGTTTATGACCTGAAAAACTCAGGACACCAGTTCAGGTGCACAAGCCAATATTTCTGTGTCTGGATTTTGAACCCCATCATTGGACGTAGCCACAGTTCTGCTGTCAGGCCAGTGTAATTGCTTTGTGCTGTGATGTCTTAGGAGTAGAAGAATGGATGGAGCTCTGTCTCCACGTTTCTCACTGTATATCATCCCTTTGTCCCTTTCGGTTAAGTGGTTCCTGTAAACGGAAATGAACACTTTCACGCTACGCAAACCATGAGACTGAACTGCTGGCCTTCCCTTTACAGACTGAGGACATTAAATGACCTGCATTTTCCTCTTTCATTTTACCTTTTTAACTGCAAAAGACTATGATTTCAAAACAAGTCTCTAAACCTTTTGAACAATGCTTCATTATGAAATTTGAAAATTTCCTTCCACTTATCAGTCTACATTTATATGTCAGGAAAAAACACACAAAAACAGCTTTCTAAAAGTGCTCAGAAATTGCTCAGCTAAGAGATACTTCAGAAACTGATTTCGAAATGTTAGTTACTATTTTTAGATATTAAAAAAAAATATATTAAGAAGATGAAGGTTCACACATGATTTTCCATAGTTAGCCAAGCTTATTAATGTATTCTTGAGATTCTACAATGTATTTCTGTTTTAGGCATCCAGAATATATTAAAAAGTTAGTTAAGATGGTGACAGACTGAATACAATTACCTGAGCCAATCATGGGTTAATATTATGCATAGCAACATAACCATACAGAGAATAAAACTTGACAAGGCCCAAAGGCACGGTTCCCTCACTGCTCTTTAACTACCTTGCTAAATGATTGCTGTCAAATTATGAATAGAAAATGATTATTAAATTAGTGAAATTATTTTAAAAAATGTGGACTGCTTTATATTCTCTGGGGTGGTCTATTGGTGGTGCTATATTCTATATTACTTTCTCTCTACAGTGTGTTGCATTTAGATTTAGCAGCCAGTCCTCCACGACCATTTAGTGGAGCAAATAAATGCTCAGTGTCTTAAACTAGTACTGAGATGCAATTCCCTATAATGATTGGTACAGTACGAACATACGTGGCAGTACAGTGCAGTGTATCGAGTGCTCAATTCTGCATATCTGATTGTCAAAAATAGAGGCATTTATACCACTGCATGGCATTTGGTACAGTGTTACATATCAAATCTAGCCATGTCTCCACCTCTGCTATGAGCCATGGTCAACTACAGTGTTTCTCCACATGGTTTAATTATCTGATCTCTGTGCAGCATTAATCAGTTTTTCCACAGAACTGTTCACTTTAATTTGATGCACTATCCAACAAAGTGTATTGTCTTAGAAAACCTTTTCATTTTGTGGACTATCCATTCTCAGGCAAACTGTTCATCTGCATCATCCATCAGGGCATATTTTTCTTCATAGAAGATTAACATTCTTTTAAGAAAACTAATTAACTATTATTGATTTGTTTATATCCTTGAGGCCTCTAGTTTAATTCTGTCTTTACACTTTTAAGGCTTCTGCTGCTGTCTTGCATTCATAACTTTGGGAACTCTTGCTAAAATCCCCAGTTTTTCTTCAAATGCCTTTAAGCTTTGCTTTCCTGTGATGCAGCTAATGGTTTATTAGCATAATTCAGCCATGCATCCCTCCTTGTTTTAAGTCCTTTAGATGTTTCATTCCACAAAGCAGCAATGAACTAAAAGACATATATAAATCATAAGATGTAGATGAAAATAATGGTCCGGTACTGCTTGCTCACACTGTCTACTGCTTATGACAGCACTGCTAGTGCATTATCAAATTTGCTTTACAGCAGGATCTGTGACTGTTATCATACTTTCTAAAAATCTGTAATTCAACAGAGTGATAGTACATTCTTCCCAGAGTTTGGGGTATGAATCTTCTGTGGCTTCTTTCAGGTTTTAACAAGCTTAACTCTTTTAACTTGGCAAAGGGTGTTTTAGCTTTTGCTATATGAGAAAGATCTTGGACTTATTTGGATTGGCAGCTGAATTCA